GAAAGAACGGTCCTTTGATCATCTCGAGAGCTATCACGGTGAGGATACTTCAGAAGCTGATGTGTTAGAAGTTGGTCACCTACCTTCGAACTGGGTTCTACAAAAAATTCAGGAATTCAGTAATTTGGTTGGCGTGTCATGTGATGGGAATGAAAGTAAATTGTTACAATTATTCGAGGAGCTGGAGGCTAATAGGGGACAAGACATCAGTACACATGGAAGTAAATTAAGAAGAAAGGGTGATCGCGAACTTAAGAGGCTCGAATGGTCAGTAAACTATGCTGGTAAGGGTGGCGAGTCAAAGAAAGGAACAATGGGGAGGGGTTACAGAGTGTTATAATGATGCAAAAACTCATTAGTTGGAACGTAAGGGGGCTCAATGAGGTTAGTAAAAGGCTTGGTGTTCGACATTTGCTAAGGGGATGGGGGGCAAATCTTGTTTGCCTACAAGAAACTAAGATGAAGTTTATCTCGAAGGCGGTAATTCGTAGTTTATGGGGGGGGGAGGTGATTCGTAGTTTATGGGGGGGGGGAGATCATGTAGGATATCAGTTTTTGGGGTCATCAAGGGTTTCAGGAGGCGTGTTGGTGATGTGGGACACTAGAGTGCTTGAGATGAAGGAGGTGAGTATAGGGGTGTTCTCTATATCGATTTCTTTCAAAAATTGCGAGGATGGATTTCAGTGGATGTTCACAGGAGTTTATGGGCCTAATTCTGATGACAGTAGAGTGGGCTTATGGGATGAACTGGCTGGAATGAGGGCTTGGTGGAATCTCCCTACATGTATTGGGGGTGATTTCAATGTGATTCAATTTCCTTCGAAGAGGTCGAGTGGTGGGAGACTAACTAGGGCAATGGGGGACTTCTCAGATTTTATTAGGGAGAATTTGTTGGTAGATTTACCCATGATTGGGGAAGATTTTACCTGGTCATCTAATCGGGATCGACCCGTTTTGTCTCGTATTGATAGGTTCTTGATTTGTGGAGAGAGTCCAAATATTCAGATGTCACTCAGAGAAGATTGGGGAAGGTGTACTCGAATCATTTTCCTATTATGTTATCGGGGAATAGGAGGGGTGGTGGAACAAGACCTTTCAGGTTTGAGAAGATGTGGTTGAAAGTAGAAGGTTTTAGAGAGCAAGTACAGACGTGGTGGACTTCCTATGAAGTCAGTGGGTCTCCCTGTTTTGTATTGGATCAGAAGCTAAAGGCGTTGAAAGGGGACTTAAAGAAATGGAATGAGGAAGTTGTGGGCAATGTTAACTGTAGTAAAAATCAGTGTCTGTTAGAGATAGAGGAGTTGGATAGGTGGGAGGAGAGTCAAGGGTTGGCTGGGGAGGAGGAGGAGAGACAGAGAGTATTAAAGGAAGAGATGGAGAGGTTGGTGGAGATGGAGGAGATTACTTGGCAACAGAAATCTAGAGTTACTTGGTTGAAAGAGGGGGATAAATGTACTAAGTTCTTCCACAGGGTCGCCAATTCTAATAGGAGGAACAACTCCATCACAGTTTTGGAGGTGGACGGGGTTACTTATGAGGAACCGAAGGAAATTGGAAGCCAACTAGTGAATTTTTATCAGAACCTCTATCGGGAGCAATTTGAATGGAGGCCAGAATTGGAGGGATTGCACTTCTCTACTATCACGAAGGATGATGCCCGATGGATGGAGAGACCATTTGGGGAGGATGAAATTAAGGAGGTAGTGTTCAGCATGAACGATGATAAGGCTCTGGGATCGGACGATTTCTCGTTCTCATTCTACAAGGCGTGCTGGGATGTGGTACGACCGGACATTGTGAATACTTTATCTTATTTTTTGAACGTGGCAGATTCCAGAGAAGTTCTAACGCTACATTTATTGTGCTCATCCCTAAGAAATCAAGAGCGACTGATATTAAGGACTTTTCCCCTTTTAGCTTTGTGAGTGGGGTGTATAAGATTATTGCGAAAGTCCTGGCAAATAGATTAAAGGAGGTGCTGGGAAAAGTAGTTTCCAAGTTTTAGAATGCATTTGTGAAAGGGCATCAGATTTTGGACTCTGTGCTTATACTAAATGAATGCATAGATTCAAGAATGCGTCTAAGGGCCCTAGGGATGCTTTGTAAGCTAGATATTCAGGAGGCTCACGATCATGTAAATTGGGGATTCCTGTTGTATATGCTCAGGCGCTGTGGCTTTGGGGATAAATGGTGTAAGTGAATTCAATTCTGTATTTCTACTGTTTCATTCAAGGTTTTGGTCAACGGAACACCTGAGAGTTATTTACGGAGTAGTAGAGGCTTGAGATAAGGGGATCCATTGTCCCCATTGTTATTTGTCATTGTGATGGAGGCTTTCAGTAGGATGATTGAAAGAGCCGTGAGAGCGGGTTTGATAAGGGGTTTATGGTTGACCAATTGCAGGTATCCCATATGTTATTTGCAGATGACACGTTGATCTTATGCGATACAGATGTTGAACAATTCAAGAACTTGCGCAGTTTGCTCCTATGTTTTGAAGCGGTGTCTGGTTTGAAAATCAATTTGGGGAAGTCTGAGGCTATTCCAGTAGGGGAGGTCGATAATATAGAGGAGCTAGCTGATATATTGGGTTGTAAGGTTGCGCAGCTGCCGATGTCATATCTAGGGCTCTCGTTAGGGGCACGATTTAAAAGTATCCATATCTGGAATGGTATTGTGGAAAGGATGGAGAGAAGGTTAGCAAGGTGGAAGAGTATGTACCTTTCTAAGGGAGGTAGACTTACTCTCATTAAATCAACTCTCTCTAATCTCCCCACTTACTTTTTGTCATTATTCCCCATTCCGATTGCAGTGACGAAGAATTAGAGAGACTTCAAAGAGAATTTTTGTGGGCAGGGTTGAGGGAGGAGAGGAGACTCCATTTGGTCAATGGGGGAGTTGTTTGTTTGTCGATGAGGATGGGGGGTCTTGGGGTGAGAAGTCTTGTGTTGTTCAATAAGGCCTTATTAGGCAAGTGGTTGTGGCGATTTGGAGTGGAGAGGGAAAGCTTCTGGAGAGAAATAATTGGGACGAAGTATGGTGTGACGGAGGGGGAATGGTGTACATTTGAGGATCATGGCTCTTCGGGGGTGAGTTTGTGGAGGTATATCCGACGGGGATGGTTTTGGACAAACTGAAGTTTGTGGTCGGAAATGGTAATGAGATTAGATTTTGGGATGATTGTTGGTGTGGAGATCAACCGCTAAAGGAGAGATTTCCTTCTTTGCATCGCATTGCCTCAGTGCCCACTGCTATGGTGAGCGATCTCTTTGACATTCATAATGGGAGTTATAGCTGGAATATTACTTTTGGGAGGGATCTACAGGATTGGGAATTGGAAGATTATTCGCTGTTTATGACCTTTTTACATGAGGTACAAATTCGGGTTGGAGAGAGAGATTGCATCAGGTGAAGGACAGCACAAGATGACATTTTTTCAGTTCGCTCGTACTTTGGTTCCCTCATGGGATGTGTGAATAATTCATTCACTTGGAAGTTGGTGTGTCAGTGTAAATTGCCTCCTCGGGTGGCATTCTTATTGTAGACAGTTGTGAGGGCACATGTTTCAACGGTGGATAATCTTCGACGTAAAGGTTTCTACGCAACCGAGTGGTGTTATATGTGCAAGAAGGATGGGGAGACGATCGATCATTTGTTCATTCATAGTGATTGTGTACGTTAGATTTGGAACAATATACCTAGTTCTCAATCTATGGATTGGGTGATGCCTCGTCGTATAGAGGATATAATACGGGCATGGCGGAGAAAACTTCGTGATAAGGATAGCAAACTAGCATGGAACCTTATCTCGGGTTGCATTGTATAGTGCGTGTGGAGAGAAAGGAACAGCCGATGCTTTGAAGACCAAACAAAGACAAGAGAGCAGATAAGAGAAACATTTTATTTTACCTTGTATTCTTGGTTTAATGCTGTGGTTAGAAATCCTGTAGATGGGTTGCCTAATTTCATGTTGTTCCTTAATGGCTTAAAGTGATTGTACACCCCCCGTGTATTCTCCCATGTATTCTCTTTAAGTAATAAAATTATTTGATTACCTATATAAAAAAAAAAAGAAGTATTATGGAATTTATCCATTGGGAAGAATCTTGACTTTCTATGAGCTAGAATAATGTTGTCGTCTAATCTGATTCGCGTTGGTATTTGAAAATGGTTATGATAGGGAAAATGGGTATATGTTTTAATAGCATTACAGATTAATGGATTAATTAATTTCTGGTGGGCTTTTCATGTCTTGGTATTTTGAGCTGGTTGGACTTATCAAGACTAGTTAGAATGCTAGAGCTGTAAGAGATGGAAAACAATTCCTTCGGTCCATACATATGTTTCTTTGCTTGTGCTTTAGATCTTGATGACCCATCCCCAAATACTCTATCCTACACAGTGAGTCATGCCCCAAAATTGCTTATTCCAGTGCAGGGTTTCCTACCTATTGATAGTGACAATTCCTCAACCCTTTTTTTTTCCCCGGTTATCTGTCTAACTTTGTTCTATATTTCTCTAACATCAATCAAAACAACTGGGTTAGGACTAAACTAAATGCCGAAAAGTAACCAATTGGCCTAAAATAACACAATTGTCGGTAGTCGTGGTACCTGGAATCTATGGCATAAAATCAATCACTACCAACTGATGTAGGTTGGACTGAAATATCTCATGACTTAATATGTATTTGGTGGTGTTATTACTGGGCACACATGCATCTATCTCTTCTTATTACCAGATAATCTGACATCATCTTGGAACGCAGGTTTTTGTCGCACTTTTAAGGACTTGCCAGCCAGAGAATAAGATGTTGGTCAAACAAGCCCTTGATATACTAATGCCAGCACTTCCACGAAGATTGCCTCTTGGCGATTCTCGTATGCCAATTTGGATACGTTACACAAAGAAAATACTTGTCGAAGAAGGCCACTCAATTCCTAATCTTATCCATATATTCCAGCTCATTGTCCGCCATTCGGATCTTTTCTACAGCTGTAGAGCACAATTTGTGCCTCAGATGGTGAATTCTCTTAGTCGCCTAGGGTTGCCATATAATACTACAGCAGAAAATAGGCGTCTTGCAATTGAACTTGCTGGATTGGTTGTCAATTGGGAAAAACAAAGGCAAAGTGACATGAAGAAAGGGCCTACTAATGATGGAAATGGTCAGATTACTGATGGAATTGGTCATGCCTCTGCTGCAGGAGATCCTAAGCATTCAGCTGATGGGTCTTCATTTTCTGAAGATTCAAGTAAGCGTATAAAGGTTGAACCAGGTCTGCAATCCCTTTGCGTCATGTCCCCTGTTGGTTCCTCTTCAATTCCTAACATCGAAACTCCTGGGTCTGCTGGGCAACCTGATGAAGAGTTCAAGCCTAACGCGGCCATGGAAGAGATGATCATCAATTTTCTCATAAGAGTACGTATAAGATTTCCCTTTGACATTTCCATTGATCAATTGAACTATTAAGATTGCAACTATTTGTTATCCTATTTGATTTCTGGGATTTATCCGTCCTTTTTAGAAACAGTAAGTAAAACATTCTAATTTCGGCCAAATAAGCGAATAAAGTTTGTAGCATAAGAACATATTTACTTTTTAAATTTTATCAATTTGCCTCAGCTGAAAATTAAATGTCATTTTTCCCATATATTGTTAGTATTTTACTGGCTTAATTTGTCACTTCACATTTTATTCTACTTTGAGGATCATAGTTTGGAGAGATAAAAGTAACTAGTTCAAGTTATTATTTTGTATTGATGTCTAATATTTGTATTATATTTAAATTTTACATTCCTGGTTTGGAAGAACACATTTGGGATGTGAGGCTGTACTGCTTTGTTCACCAAATTGGAAAAAAAGAGTACTACTGTGTAACTTCATATTGGCTAAGTTCATGAGTTGGAGATAACTAAATGTATTATATTTCCGTTTGTTTATCCCATCATCCCCAACACACAAAAAAAAGTTTCCGCATCTCAATAAATGATTGAATATGGCAAAGGCTTCCCAAACTGAAAAGGAAATAAATGGCCATGCAGAGATACTATCTATGATCCAGATCCGTCCTAGGAATCATATTTAAGCTCTATGGCACTATGGGCTAGTCTTCTCTATTTGGACTTTCCAAGAATAGCTGACCGAAACATCTGATTTAGCTTAAAGAAGGGAACAAAGAGGCTATTTTGGGACTAGCTATAACTGGAAGTGGGATATTGATATAGTACATGACAACTACAACTAATGGTTTCCTACTAAAATTGTGAATTACTTTATAGTTGTATTATCTTCTCAATTATAGTTATCCATCCTAGTATTCTTTTATAGCTATGATAGGACTTTTATCTTCCATTTGATTAGGATTGCAGTTTCAATTTCCTAGCAGTAGTAGAAGTAAGGAATAATCTTGCTATAAATATGGAGGCATTGTTTTCTTTTTTCGAGCAATCAATTATTATTTAATATGTACAAAGCTAGATTATTCCAAATCATTCTTATTTGTTACATAATTTTTATTACAAGAATTTTATAAACATTTTCGCACCAAATTGGTACCAGAGTAAGGAAATTACCTTAATTCGAAGGTCGACGAATGTCCTGGTGGCGAGGAGATCGACGAAGCTCTTCACAATCTCATACATATGATGACTATCTTAACTGTGAAGAGCAGACACAGGAAGAGACTACCAGAATGAGAAGACTAGTTGAAAGAAGACAACCTAGATTTCATTGACGACGAAGGAGATACTGATCGGGATGTGATGAGCCCTAGGGTAGCAGTGGGAGCAAACCTGTATCCCAAGCCATAGTCGCGCGTTGACCTGTGTTTGGTGGAATGACGTCGGCTAGAGAGAATTGCGTGTCTATTTGGACGAGAATGTAATTTTGACCAAAGCTGTAATTTTGATCGAGATTTTAATTTTGATTGAGGGTTTAATTTTGATCATCGATCGAGAAATGTTGATTGTCGTGCAGGTTCTAATTTTCAACGAATGGCTAAAGGTTTTCATACAAAGGCTTATCTCGGGGTTTCTATAATTCATCCGAAGAAGACAATTTTCGACCAAGGGCTAACAATCAGGATCCAAATGTACAAGAATTTAAGATGAAGATGGACTCGCCAAGTTTTAACGGCAGATTAAATATTGAAGATTTTTTGGATTGGATCTATACCGTTGAAAAAAAATTCTATTTGCATATCTCGAAACAAAGCCAAATTAAACTCGTGGTGTACAAATTAAAGGGTGGAGCTTTTGCTTGGTGGGAACTTCAATTTAATCGTGAAAGACAAGGAAAGAAACGTGTGCAAACCTAGCCTCTGATGAAATGGTTATTGCAAAGGCAATTTCTTCCTTTAGATTATCAGCAATTTTTTGTACTAACAATATCGGAATTGTTGATAGAGTAGCTGGATAGTAAACAAGTACACGAAGGAATTATATTGATTGAATGCTCGAGTTAATTTGTCTAAAATGGAGGCTCAATTAATGCTCGATACGTAGGAGGCCTAAATTTGGTCATTCAAGATTGACTAGCTCTTTATGAGGTTTGGACCATGATAGATGTAGTTAATTTAGCAATAAAAGTGGAAAATCAAATGAATAGACAGATAGCTCTTAAGGTAGTTTTTGATTGACCAACCTAAGAAACTTATTCTACTCCAAAAGGTGCAAGGACGCAAAAGCAGCAACAATAATAACAGTAAGGATACCACTCCAACTCAGAGTTGGCACAAAATCACAGCAGAACTTCAGCTCTTGTTTGAACTAACACCCGATGCAAAAACCAGATACATCAACGAGCCAATAATGACTCTTATGCTCTCCTAATCTTGGGAAGTGCTTCCGGTCCAATCAATTAGGCCATCTTTCAAATAAATGCCAAAACAGGCGATCCATTAACCTTTCAAAAAAAGGCGAAAGTGATGAGATCAAAATGTTGAAGATGATACTTATGAGGGTACTGATATTGCAGACGCGAATATTGGGGTAAAAAAGGCGTGCATCGTCTAACACTTTTTACTTGCCCCACAAAAGCTCGGTAACTCTCAATGACACAAAATCTTCCGAATTCGATGCACTATTCATAATAAAGTATGCAACGTGATCATTAACAACGACAACAGTGAGAATGTCATTTCCAGGGCATTGATTAGAACTCTAAATCTAAAAATCGAGAAATACCCTTCTCTATACAAGATTGAATGGATTAGAAAATGTCCAGAAGTTCAAGTTCTAGAGATTTCCAAAGTTCCCTTGTCGATTGGGAATATTACAAAGATAAGATCAAATGCAACATAGTGGATATGGATGGTTATCTTATTGGGATGACGATGGCATTATGACATTGATGTTACTTATGAGGGATGGGATAATGCTTTCGTATTTTGGTGGTTTGACTAGAAGATCGTTCTGGTACCCTAGACTTAACCTTTGGAAAATCATTTTGTTATCAAGGAAGAGAGACCACTTCTTGCCAACATATTGGGCTCAGGATTCTTTGAACAAGTGAAGGAGCCACACATTATCTTAGCATTAGTAGTTAAAGGTCTATCAAAAGCAACCATGCAGATTCTTGCCTAAGTTCAAAAGGTATTTGCTGGTTTTGTTGAGATATCACGTAATGAGTTGTACCCTATGCGAAACATTCAACGTCATATTGATTTGTCATCGGGAGCTAGTTTGCCTAACTTGCTACGTTATCGCATGAGCCCAGCTGAACATGAAGAGTTTTAGCAATAGATTAATGAGTTACTTGATAAAGGGTTAATTCGTGAGAGCACAAGTCATTGTGTAGTTCCTGCTTTGCTCACCCCAAAAAGGACAGCAATTGGCGAATGTGTATAGATAGTTGTGCTATTAATAAAATAACAATCAAGCATATCTTTCCCCTCCCGCATCTTAACGATATGCTTGACAGGTTAGAAGGTGCAATGTATTCACTAAACTTGATATACAGAGTAGCTATCCTAAGATCCGCATTCGAACTGTCAATGAGAGGAAAACGGCTTTCAAAACCAAAAATGGTTTCTAAGAGTGGTTAGTGATGCCATTTGGGCTATCAAACGCCCCAAGCACATTCATGCGATTAATGAACCCAGTTCTTCATCCATTTATAGGAATATTTGTGGTGGTTTATTTTGATGATATTCTTACCTACAACAAGAATGAGGATGAGCACTTATCGCATCTTATAGAAATTATCTCAGCCCTGCGAGATAATAAATTGTATATCAATCTCATAAAGTGTAGCTTTATGACTGGGCAACTTTTATTTCTTGGTTTTATAGTGGAAAAGATGGTATCCAAGTTGATGAGGCTAAAGTTAAAACAACGCGCAAATGGCTAGCTCCTAAAGCCGTACGTGAAGTACAAAGCTTTTATGAATTAGCAACTTCTTATAAACATTTTATTCAAGGATTTAATAAAATCATGGAACCTATTACCGATTGCCTGAAAAAAGGCCAATTTCAATGTGACAAAGCTCAAGAAAATAGTTTCAAGGTAATAAAAACCAAGTTATGTGCTATACAGCTATTGGCGCTCCCTAGTTTTTAGAAAATATTCGAAGTTTAGTGTGATGCTTTAGCTATGGGTATTGGATCGGTATTATCAAGGTCATCCAATTGAATTTTTCAATGAAAATGTTGGCGAACGTCGACAAAAGTGGACTACTTATGAGTTAGAATTTTTTGTCGTTATTTGAGCCTTAAAGCATTAGGAACATTACTTGGTTCAACGAGAATTTGCACTATAGACGAATCATCAAGCTTTGATGTTTATTAATTCTCAAAAATAATGAATCGAATGCACGCTCAGTAGATTGCCTTTTTGCAGATGTGCATCTCTTTTAGCTATAGTTGTTACTAAAGCAGTAGGGTTCTAATGTTTAAAGCATTAGGAATTTGCGCCATGAGTTAGAATTTTTTGTCGTTATTTGAGCCTTAAAGCATTAGGAACCTTGCTTGGTTCAACAAGAATTTGCGCTATATACAAATCATCAAGCTTTGAAGTTTATTAATTCTCAATAATAATGAATCAAATGCACGCTCAGTAGATCGCCTTTTTGTAGACGTGCATCTCTTTTAGCTACAGTTATTACTGAAGCAGTAGGGTTCGAATGTTTAAAGGAACTTTATGCAACTGATGAGGATTTTGACAATATATGGACTCGATGCAGTAATAGAAAATCGATACCCGATTACCTGCTTCTGGAAGGATTCTTGTTTGAAGGAACGCAAATATGCATTCCTCATTCTTCTTTGCATGAGTACTTGTTTCGAGAACGGCAGTAGGTGGTCTCGGAGGACATTTTTGTCATGATTAGACAATCAGCTTGGTTGAAGAGAGATTTTATTGGCCTTAACTTAAAAGAGACATTGGTTATTTTGTTCACTGTTGTCCAATATGTCAGAAAGCTAAGAGACAAGCTCAAAATACTGGTTTTTATACTCCCTTTGCCAGTTCCAGAGATAATATGGCAAGATCTCTGGATTTTGTTCTTGGCCTTTCACGAACTCAATGTGGAGTTGATTTTGTTTTGGTCGTAATTGATCGATTTTCAAAAATGGCTCACTCCCTTCCTTATAAGAAAACTGCCGATGTTTCTTATGTAATTAATCTATTTTTATCGCTAGATTGTTTTCCTACACGATATTCCTCGTTCTATAACTTCTAATAGATAAGTAAAGTTCCCAAGCCATTGTTGGAGAACACTTGATACTTTAAAGCTTAGTAGCACGAGTCACCCCTAGACAGATGGGTAAACAGAAGTGGCGAATCGTACTTTTGACAATATGATTTGAGCAATTAGTGGAGATGAACCAAATCAGCGAGATGCAACCATTCCACAGATTGAGTTTTTGCTTTAACAGTATGCCTAATCGATCCACCAATAAAGCTCCTTTTGAAGTCATCTACCCTGATATTCCACGGCACACATTAGATTTGATTCGAGTTATTAATATCAATTTAATGCAGAAGAGTTTGTTGAATGTATTCAGAGAATTCATCACGAGGTAAAACAAAATTTTGAAGATGCTAATGTTCGTTACAGAACTGCTACAAACCAACATCAACGTCTTAAAGCTGTTCGATCCATCTTCCAAAAAATTGTTTTCATGTTGGTAAATACAGGAAGCTTAAAAATAAGAAGATTGATAATTTTCGCATTCTTCTGAAGATCGGCGATATTCTTACAATGTTGACCTCCTAGTTGATATGAACTTTTTTAATACTTCCAATGTTGCTGATACCTTTGAGTATCATCCCTTGGATGAGTTATCCTTACAGCTGCAAAACTTGAGGACGAGTAAGTGGAGGGGATTGATGTAGTACATCACAACTACAACTAATGGTTTCCTACTACAACTATGAATTGCTTTATACTTGTATTTATCTTTTCAAATATAGTTATCGATCCTAGTTTTATTGTGTAGTTATGATAAGGCTTTTGTCTTTTATTTGACCAGGATTATAGTTTCAATTTCCTGGTAGTAGAAGTAAATAATCTTGCCTGTAAATATTGAGGCATTGTAGACTTTTCCAAGACAATCAATTATTATTCAATATACAAAGTAAGATTATTCCAAATCATTCTTATTTGTTACATAATCTTATTACAAGAATTTTACAAATGCTTCCTCACCAGATATCGAATTTAAGATGGGAGCTTATATGTGGGATTTAGAGCTCAACCATACTGTACATTTCCCCCTTTACATTCACAATATCCTGAATCACTTCTATCCAAATCCACTCAGCTGCATTTGTGACTGTTATGGTTTTAAGATCATTGTTTGTTTACAACGAGGTCGTATTCAATTTGCTTCTTACTGATGCATGCTTAATTACAGAAATTCTTGTATAATTTGTTGATGACCATGCCTTCTTATATGTTAATTATGCATTTAAATTCCATTTCTCTGACACAGTAGTAGCATTTACCATGTACACATATATTTGAAACTTTTTAAGATGGCAAGAGCTCAAGGTAGATGATTTAGTTCTCTGTCTCTAGTTTCTATTATTCTCTTTGTTATTTTTCAAGCTTATGCAAGTGCTGAGGATCTTCTACTATAACCAGTAACTTTGATTACTAATTTTCTTTAAATCTGGAAAATATATATATATATATATATATATATATATATATATATATATATATTTTTTTTTTTTGGTTTGTAAATTTCTAATTATTTGTACAGGTAATACTACTATAAGTTCTGTTCATTATAGTTAGTTACACAATGATTTTAAGTGAAGATAATAAATACTTGTCCTCTTTATTTTACTTTGATTTTGGTGTTTAGGTTGCTTTAGTGATAGAGCCCAAGGATAAGGAGGCCAGTTTAATGTATAAACAAGCTTTGGAGCTTCTATCACAGGCTTTGGAAGTGTGGCCCAATGCTAATGTCAAATTCAATTATTTAGAGAAGCTGCTGAATAGTACTCCATCCTCCCAAACGAAGGACCCATCTTCAGCCCTAGCTCAAGGTCTGGATGTGATGAACAAGGTCCTGGAGAAGCAACCTCACTTGTTTGTTCGAAATAATATCAACCAGATATCCCAAGTACGAATCTTTGCAGAATGGTGATTTTATCTAGATTTTTAATAGGCCATGGCTTCAACATTTCCTTTTAATTGGTAAATGTTCCACAGGTTCTCGAACCATGTTTCAAGTTTAAAATGATAGAAGCTGGAAAGTCACTGTGCTCCCTGTTGAAAATGGTTTCTGCTGCATTTCATCCAGAAGCAGTCAATACGCCACATGATGTGAAGATGCTGTATCAAAAAGTGGAGGAGATAGTACAGAAGAACCTTGCTGCTGTTGCAACTCAGATTTCCGGAGAAGATAATTTTGGTAGCATGATTAGCTTTGTGCTGTATATCATCAAAACTTTGTCAGATGTGCACAAAAACTTGATTAATCCATCGAATTTGGTTCATGTCCTTCAGCGCCTTGCAAGAGATATTGGATTGTCAAGCGGCTCTTATGCTAGACAAGTATGCCCCTGCTTTCCTGTTAGGATGCTATCAAATTTCACGTCACATGTCTTAATAAAATAAATTTGATTATACATTTGACCACGTGTGGGGCCCATTTTCATTTTGTGAAGTATATCTTGGAGTAAATGACATGATCCCAGTTTTAACATTTTATCTTCTTGAAATATCATGCTGCATTTGCATGATTATAGCTGCTTTGTCATTATTTTTCATGTGCTTCAATTGGACTGGTACCATTATATTTGATCTTTATGCAGGGTCAGAGATCTGATCCAGATTCTGCTGTAACTTCTTCTCGTCAAGGTTCTGATTATGGGATTGCCATTGCCAATTTGAAATCTGTTTTGACACTAATCAGTGAAAAAGTCATGATTGTTCCAGAGTGCAAACGATCTGTAACACAGATTTTGAACTCCTTACTCTCTGAGAAGGGCACTGATCCTTCTTTGCTTCTATGCATACTAGATGTAATAAAGGGATGGATTGAAGATGATTTTAGTAAACAGGGCACACCTTTTGCGTCTAGTATGTTTCTTACTCCTAAAGAAGTTGTTGCTTTCCTTCAGAAGCTTTCACAAGTTGATAAGCAGAACCTCTCTCCTAGTCTCGTAGAAGAGTGGGACAGGAAATATCTTGATCTTCTTTTTGGACTTTGTGCTGACTTATCTAAGTAAGTCATGTCCTTGTGTCTTTCTATCTTTTAATTTTAAATTCAGTTAATTATAATGGAGTTGTCTTTCAGATATCCTTCTCCACTACGCCAAGAAGTCTTTGAGAAAGTAGAGAGGAAGTTCTTACTTGGTTTAAGGGCAAAAGATCCTGACATCCGGATGAAGTTTTTCTCTCTTTATCATGAGGCCCTTGCGAAGACATTGTTCACGAGACTGCAATACATTATTCAAGTTCAAGACTGGGAGGCTTTAAGTGATGTCTTTTGGCTCAAGCAAGGCCTCGATCTTCTTTTGGCCATTCTAGTCGAGGATAAACCTATTACACTGGCTCCGAACTCTGCAAGAGTTCCACCTCTTGATGTATCGGGTGCGATTTCTGATGGTGCTGGTGTGCAGCCAATGGTTACTGATATTGTAGAAGGATCTGAAGAGGCACCTCTAACCCTTGATAGCCTCGTGTCTAAGCATGGAGAGTTTCTGAACGAAATGAGCAAACTTCGGGTATACCCTTTTCTGAATTAAAATTGTGTTCTTTCACTCAATTTTGAATAGTATGCATAAATAAATGTAAAAGCTGTTGGTTAGGTGGATGATGTACTTATCACCAAAAGGGCATTTTGCATTGGTTTCTGTACTCATGTCCTGTCTTTAGAAGTGTTATAATGTCACAAACCACTGTGTATTGTCCATCTCTTTATTCAATTATGATATTTTCTTTGGACAAAGCTTACAACAATATATTTGTTTTCGTTAGGCTGGATTTTTGTCTTTGGTATAGTAATTTTGTTTTTAGAGTGATGTTTACAGGCATTGCAAGGCTGTCTTAGGAATTTCTATAAATTTAATAATGCAAGTAATTCTGGGGTTCTTTTGGGTCTGGATTTATTGTAGGTTGCGGATCTTATTGTTCCACTGAGAGAGCTGGCCCATACAGACGCAAATGTTGCATATCATTTGTGGGTCTTGGTGTTTCCTATTGTTTGGATGTCATTACATAAGGAAGAACAGATAACACTAGCTAAGCCAATGATAGCTCTCTTATCGAAAGACTATCACAAGAAGCAGCAATCATATCGCCCAAATGTTGTGCAAGCTCTTTTAGAAGGACTCCAGTTAAGCCATCCCCAGCCACGTATGCCCAGTGAACTCATTAAATACATTGGAAAGACTTACAATGCATGGCATATTGCATTAGCACTGCTAGAAAGTCATGTGATGTTGTTCTTGAATGACACAAAGTGTTCCGAGTCTCTGGCTGAGCTTTATCGATTACTGAATGAAGAAGATATGAGGTGTGGTTTGTGGAAGAAACGGTCAGTTACTGCAGAAACCAGATCTGGTCTTTCACTTGTTCAGCATGGTTATTGGCAACAGGCACAAAGCCTTTTCTATGAAGCTATGGTGAAGGCTACTAAAGGAACTTACAACGATACTGTACCGAAAGCTGAGATGTGTCTTTGGGAAGAGCAGTGGCTTCATTGTGCTACTCAACTCAGTCAATGGGATGTGCTGGTGGACTTCGGCAAAATTGTCGAGAATTATGAAATACTACTAGATAATCTCTGGAAAAAACCTGACTGGGCATATCTGAAAGATCAAGTTATTCCAAAAGCTCAAGTAGAAGAAACTCCCAAACTTCGTACTATCCAAGCATATTTTGCCCTTCATGAAAAAAGTATAAATGGTGTGACGGAGGCCGAAAACTTAGTGGGTAAAGGTGTTGATCTTGCCTTGGATCAGTGGTGGCAATTGCCTGAAATGTCCATTCATGCAAGAATCCCTCTTCTTCAGCAATTTCAGCAGCTAGTTGAAGTTCAAGAATCAGCTAGGATTGTAGTGGATATTGCCAATGGAAATAAACTTTCTGGTAATTCTGTCGGTGGGCACAGTGGTCTATATGCAGATCTCAAGGATATCCTTGAGACATGGAGACTGAGAACTCCAAATGAATGGGACAATATGTCTATTTGGTATGATTTGCTTCAATGGAGAAATGAGATGTATAATGCGGTTATCGATGCATTTAAGGATTTTGGCAATACAAATCCTCAGCTACATCATCTTGGGTTCCGTGACAAGGCATGGAATGTCAATAAGCTTGCCCATATTGCCCGCAAGCATGGCTTGTATGATGTTTGTGTGTCTATACTAGATAAATTGTATGGCCACTCTACTATGGAAGTTCAGGTGCTGTGTACTATTCACATTTACTTTGTAGTTCTCTTTTTCCACGTTGATCTCCATTTGTATCCCCATCATCAGCCTCTTGGCTGAGAGTGGAGGATATGATGTGGTGGTGGTAGGATAAATTATTTCATTGATGAGTGTTTTTTCCCTGTTTTTGGTTTTTGTATTGTATTTACAGGAGGCTTTTGTTAAAATAAGAGAACAAGCAAAGGCATATTTGGAAATGAAGGAAGAGCTAGTAACTGGTCTTAATTTGATAAATAATACTAACCTCGAGTATTTTCCTATCAAACAACACAAGGCTGAAATTTTTCGCCTGAAGGGTGATTTTTTGTTAAAGCTCAATGATTGTGAAGGTGCTAATATTGCGTATTCAAATGCGATCAGTCTCTTCAAGAACTTGCCTAAAGGATGGATTAGTTGGGGAAATTATTGTGACATGGTAATGTATTGGTCATGTTTAGTTACAAATTTTTTTTTTATTTTTTTATTTTTTTTAGCTTGAATACCTATTCTGCTGTCTCCAGGCTTACAGAGAAACCCATGAAGAGATTTGGTTGGAATACGCTGTGAGCTGCTTTCTTCAGGGCATCAAATTTGGGAGTCCTAATTCCAGAAGTCATCTAGCCCGTGTTCTGTACCTACTCAGTTTTGACTCCTCCAATGAGCCAGTAGGGAGGGCATTTGACAAATACTTGGATCAAGTGCCTCACTGGGTTTGGCTTTCTTGGATTCCTCAACTATTGTTATCCTTGCAAAGGACTGAAGCTCCACATTGCAAACTTGTTTTACTTAAAATTGCCACTGTATATCCTCAGGTAGGTCTTAATTTGCTTTTAGAAATCATTAATCTAGTTTTCAATTTTAATCTTTCTAGTATGATACCATCTTTTAAATATAGGCATTGTATTACTGGCTGCGAACGTATTTGCTCGAACGGCGTGACGTTGCAAACAAATCTGAAAATGGTAGGATGGCCGCTCAGAGAATGCAACAAAATGTCTCTGGTCCTTTTGTTTCTGGTTCTATTGGCTTGGCCAGCGGAAGTTCACGAGTGGCCGGTCAGATTGGCAGTTCGTTAGCCTCAGACAGTCAGATTCACCAAGGAGTTCAATCTACTGGAGGTCTTGGTTCGCATGATGGCAGTAGCTCTCAGGTGCAAGAACCTGAAAGGTCTGCTACTGTTGAAGGCAGTATACCGTCTGGTAATGATCAATCATTGCATCAGAGTTCGTCCAACAACGATATTGGTCAGAATGCATTGAGGCGTAACTCAGCATTGGGATTTGTTGCCTCTGCTGCTAGTGCTTTTGATGCTGCCAAAGACATAATGGAGACTCTTAGAAGCAAACACACCAATCTGGCTAGCGAACTCGAGGTAACTGTCATTTTTTCTTTGCATATGATGTCCTTATCTTTTCATTTTTAAACTAAATAAATAGACAGGCAACTTTGATTTCCTTGTTTGATATGTCTGCCTAAAATAAGAGGTTTAGTGGTAGATTCCCAAACAATTATTGTATAAAATGAAAGTTCGTAAGCAATTGATGGTAACCTTTTAATGAATTTGGAACTCAATTAAAGTAGCTGTAATTTGAAGATTGAAATGAATTACAAGGTAGGCTTTCGAGAGGCCTATTATCTCCCAATTCACACTCGCAATGTGAATGAAAAACAGGTTACCCGATCCCCATACTCACCCCTTTTCAATGGGCATTCACTTTTTATTTCTGAAATTCACCTTTTACCTCTCCCTACAAAAATAACCGATAGACTCGAAATAATAAAATCCCCTGCTTCTTTGCTCCTGGCTTCTATTGTTAATCCGCTGCGCTTTTCCACACCTGGCATAGGTAAATTGCATTGGGGGAAATTTGACAATAAAATGATTTTACTTTGTTATTGGAAACACTATTGCAGATTTTGCTGACAGAAATTGGCTCAAGATTTGTTACCTTGCCAGAGGAGAGGCTTCTGGCAGTTGTTAATGCTCTGCTTCACCGGTGTTACAAGTACCCAACAGCCACTACGGCAGAAGTTCCCCAGTCTCTCAAAAAGGAGCTTTCTGGTGTTTGCAGAGCTTGTTTTTCTGCAGAAGCTTTGACCAAGCATGTTGAATTTGTGGATGAGTACAAAACGGATTTTGAACGTGATCTTGACCCAGAAAGTACTGCCACATTTCCGTCAACCCTTGCTGAACTAACCCAAAGATTAAAGCATTGGAAAAATATTCTCCAGAGAAATGTTGAGGACAGGTTTCCAGCTATTTTGAAACTGGAAGATGAAAGCAGGGTGTTGCGAGACTTCCACGTTGTTGAAGTGGAAGTACCTGGACAATATTTTACTGATCAGGTGAGTTGTGTCTTAGTTCGAAACTTTTGAATTTGATTTTTCTCATATCAGAGAAAGAAGTGAGGACACTTAGTTCTTGCTTTTCATTCTTTGTTCATGTCATTGTGGTTAAAATGCATTTAAACATTTATCATTTCAGGAGGTTGCACCAGATCATACGGTTAAGTTAGACAGGGTGGGAGCTGACATTCCAATTGTAAGAAGGCATGGAAGCAGTTTCCGGCGATTAACTTTAATTGGGTCTGATGGATCCCAGCGACATTTTATAGTTCAGACATCTTTGACGCCAAATGCTAGAAGTGATGAACGAATCTTGCAACTCTTTCGGGTGATGAATAGAATGTTTGATAAACATGAGGAATCACGGCGCCGACATATCTGCATTCACACACCAATTATCATACCAGTGTGGTCACAGGTAGTAATGCTAGATCTCACATATATACAATGCTGTCATTTCATCCTGTATAATTTGATGAAATTATTCTGCACTTAATTTAATTTTTCTGATTAAATAATGTCTTGCATATCTACATATCTAGTGCACGGTTTGTGTATGTATGCTAATATGGTTATACAAGCTTTCTCCTAGAGGATCTGTATACTTTTTTCTATTTGTGATATCTGGATTCTGGTAGTTAAATTATTGTTTCTTTATGGGATGCAAATTTGTATGCTAACGCTGATTCGAGAATTGATGACTGTATAAGGAGCCTCATTTCTGTCTAGTATGTGCTGTGTGTTAAACCTGTCAGTTTGCTTTCATATCGTTCCACAGTTACCCAGCGGACAATATAACATCTTCTGTCCTGAAATATACTATTACACACACCAATAGCAATTAATCCATGATTTTTTTTTTTTTAATAGTCTAATTTGATTACTGAAGGTCTGAATGGGTTGTTTATCCTACTTTCTGCAATCTGCAAAATTTGGCAACTAATATTTTCTATCTTTATGCTGCAAGTGAAACTTTTTCCTCGTTCTCTTAATTATTTCTGTAGGTCCGTATGGTTGAAGATGATCTGATGTACAGCACTTTCCTGGAGGTATATGAGAATCATTGTGCTAGAAATGACCGAGAAGCAGATTTACCTATCACTTATTTCAAAGAGCAACTGAATCAAGCCATATGTGTACAGATATCACCTGAAGAGGTGGTAAATCTTCGTCTTGAAGCTTACAATGATATTATAAAAAATATAGTGACAGACAGCATATTCTCACAGTATATGTACAAAACTTTGTCAAGTGGAAATCATATGTGGGCATTTAAAAAGCAGTTTGCCATCCAGTTGGCTCTTTCAAGTTTTGTGTCGTTCATGCTACAAATTGGAGGAAGGTCTCCAAACAAGATTCTTTTTGCTAAGAACACTGGGAAAATTTTCCAGACAGATTTTCATCCAGCATATGATGCAAATGGGATGATTGAGTTTAATGAACCAGTGCCTTTCCGCCTAACAAGGAATCTGCAGGCCTTTTTCTCTCATTTTGGAGTGGAAGGCCTTATTGTCACAGCCATGTGTGCGGCTGCTCAAGCTGTGGTTTCACCTAAAGTAAGTGCAATTGCTTGTACCTTCTTAAAAGTTTTCTTCCTTAGCGAGCGGATTATTATTGTTTTTAAAATACCCTGATGCAGCAAAGTCAGCATATTTGGCATCATTTGGCTATGTTTTTCCGTGATGAGTTGATATCTTGGTCCTGGAGAAGACCTCTTGGAATGCCTCTTGCTCCTGTTGTTGGAGGGGGTAGTTTGAACTCTGCTGACCTAAAACTGAAGGTCACGACTAACATTGAGCACGTTATAGGGCGGATCAATGGAATAGCTCCATCGTACATCTCTGAAGAGGTATGCTTTCATCAGCTTATTTATCAAGTTCCATAGCACTAAATATTAGATGCTTCAGCTGTTAAAAGAATTTTATTGATACATACGTATACATATATATATACACATATACACACACACACATATATACACGTATATATATATGTATGTATATATCAATAAATATATATATATATATTTAAACTGATACATCAGTATTTTCTTCTCTCTAAATATAATACCGATTTTGGAGCATCACTTCAGGATTTAGTATAATGGGACTAAGATTGAATATGCTGAATACCTTTTTAATCAAGTTCGGAATAAGGATGATAGTGATTAGTGAGTCACCGGGGGTCAATCCTGTATTCTGAAATAGTAATGGTAATTCTTACATTAGGACTTAAAGATGTAATGCACACGATTAGAGTAGGTTCGACAAAAAGAAGTGTTATGTTTGTATTCTGTGACAAGGAGACTCGTAGAAGATGCTATGCTTTAGAGTGGGGCCACTAAATTAGAAAATGTTTCAAATATAATGCAGCAGAATTGAGGATGTTAAGATGGATATGTATCCCTACAAGAATGTTTAAAAGGAAATGAGAATGGTGAATGTGACACTCCCATAGATGATAGAACTTGAAAAGCAAGTCATTCACAAGTGGTGCAATATTGATTGAATGCAGTTGTAGAATGTATTGATTTTGTTGGACTTCGACTGATGCATTGGTGGATTGAGATTAGTGGGAAAAAGAAGCCATGTAGACTAAACTGTCTTTATGGGGAGTTGAGTTTTTTGAGTCTTGACGGATTTAATATTTAATGTTGTTTCATTCTTTTAGCTATGGTATTTTTCACGAAATTTGGTCTGAAATTTATTTATACCAGTTTCGCGTGATTTACACATCATACCTGCATACCCTGACTTTATGTGATTAAATAGGATGAAAGTAGTACGGATCCACCTCAATATGTTCAGAGGGGTGTAACAGAGTTGGTTGAAGCTGCTCTCACTCCAAGAAACTTATGCATGATGGATCCAACATGGCACCCTTGGTTCTAATAAGCTCCAGTCTTTTGGAGTTGAATACAATGCAAATATTGTCTATTTACTGTAAATAGTTTGCAACTTAAGACAGTAAATGTGGCTCTTGGCCAAAAACTTGACTTTCACTAAATGAGCAAGAAAAGTCGTGTCTTATGTTTGTAACGCTTCACACTTTTTGTTGGCTCATTTTCTCCAGCCAATAATGCATATTATTATTTTAAATGAGCATATCTAATGCATTTTCTCCAGCATTTGGCTTGCAAACGAGGGCTCTAGAAATAATACCCTTTTTTTCTTTTTCTTTTTCTTTTTCTTTGAGTTCGTTACTTTCAAAGTTACTGCCATGACGGATTAAAAAGGAATGGTCCGTTCAACAGACTAAATTTGGCTTGCAAACGAGGGCTCTAGAAAGTTTCTTGAACTTAAATGTCCACTGGAACCTTTCAGGGCAAAATAATACCCTTTTTTTCTTTTTCTTTTTCTTTGAGTTCGTTACTTTCAAAGTTACTGCCATGACGGATTAAAAAGGAATGGTCCGTTCAACAGACTATAAATATCATTAGAAGAAAGAATTCAAATTTCTTTGAATTCAAAAAATGACCCAAAACACACCCTTAAAAGCAATACGTTCCTTGCACTCCCTTGAAACAATAATCATGTTATGAAGCGGGAGATTCAATTTCACCATTGCATGCTGCTGCTACTTCAAGTTCATCGTCACTGCTGTACACGAATCGAGTATGTTTTCCGCTAAATTTAACCATTTTCTTGCGTCCATTCATATTCATTTTGGTCATTCCTACACATAGTTCGTCGAGCAATCCTTGATCATAATCTTCTTCATCCACAAAATTGTAGTCATAATCGCATTCCTTTTCGAACTCTTCTTCAAAGAAGTCCTCCTCTCTTTCTTCTTCTTCGCAGTCGTCTCTATTACTGCTTGCGTTTACCTGAATAGACCAAATTGATGCATCATCTTCATCAATCGATAGCTTCACATCGCTACTTTCACTGCCTTCTCCTTCATATGTCAGCACGGACGAATCAGAGCTGTCCGATTTCTCAAAAAATTCCAATAGCAGAGACCTTGTAACCACACTCTTCTCAGACTCGATTGCATCTTGTTCCTCCCCATCTGAGATCTTACTTATTATCTGATTCTATAAAAACATATTTCAAATAAATGTGCAAAAAAGAAAACACAATAAATAAATAAAGATTTAACTCATTAATAAGAATTAGAAACCTGAGGGATCAAAAACTTGTCTTCAACTGGGGATGGTGTAACAGAAGGCAAGTAATTGCTGCTACTATCACTGAGGTTCAAGATTTGGGGTGTATTTGCAGGAGTGGGTGCAAGAAGGCCTATTGGAGAGTTGACAAGGTTGAAAAAAGGCTTGTGTTGCAAAGTAATTTTCGAAAGCTCAGCCTCTTCTTCAACTTTTTGCAAGAGGGACTTCACTTGATCTCTCAACAGGGCTTCTCCCGAGCCCGGGGTGCCGGTGATCTTGGCTCGACAGTTGATTCTCTTTCTGGAGATTGTAGATGATGGGGTTTTCAAATTCCCCTTTGCAAGCCCAACAATTGGGGAATCATTTGTTATATCCATAAAAGCTGATCGATCTGGTCCCTTTTTGTTACTCATATGCCTTGATTTTGTCACAATTTTTTCAGATTCTTGAGAAATGACATGGGAAAAAGAATCAAAAACAGATTTATACAAGAACTAATAATATAATACTGCAAACCAAGAAAAAGACGAAAAAAAATTTTTAAACCTACTTGAGACTTCCATATTGTTTTTGTTGTTTATACTGTTGTCAGTAACAGCAGCCAAGGTCTGGGATCTTGTTGCTCTTCTTGTGGATAATGGGGTTTCCATTTTGATTTTGGGATTAAGAATTTACTCAAAAATCAATTGGTTTTTGTGCTTACGCTATTAAGAAATTCTGATGGCCGACGGTGGTGAAAAGAAGGGAAGCGATAGAGAGAGAAGAATAGAAATTCTGGGTTTTGTGCTTTCACTTCGCAGGATTATTAAGAAATTCTGATGGCCCACAACTACAGAGAGAGAGAGAGAGAGGGAGGAATTAATTTGTTCAATGAGGGAAGGTTTTATAAGAGAATTTGGGAGAACAGAATGGGGTTGAGAGAGAAAAAAATGACCGTTAGAGCGCGTGTTTAGGCGGCGAGTGAGTGACAACTAGCCGTTACATTTGAATTTCTTGGTTTGGTTATTGGACTGCGTCTTAATCTTGTGATAGGTTGGGCCCGAGCCCAGTACATGAAGATGTTGGTTGACCCAATCAATTTGTAAATTTAATTGGGCAAATTAGACCCAATACCCTAAAAAGTTAACTAGCGCGATTACTACAGTAATAACTAATTAAATTATTTAACAACGTAACAATTACATTATAAAATCCCCAAAAATCTCCCAACATATCTTTCATTAGAAGTATTAGTAGCGCACAGAAATTTGATATCACCATAGATAAATGGTCGACATTTTTACATCCATTCAACTCCACCATAGATTTAGAAGGTCCCATCCGCCACAATCTCACCACCATCACGATTAGGAGTGCCACTGTCGCCATCCCCACCATAGCACAACACCACCAAAAATATCTGCAAAACTCGGCATCGCCATCGCCACCACAATGAACATAAATGAAAATAGAAGCCTCGCCACCCAAACTAGCGGCGATCGCTAGAGCTAGAACCGCTTTCTTGAGCTGCCACAGAGATAGGGAAGACGAGTGGGAGGAGAGAGAAGGGGATGGAAAGAGAAGAAATTGATTAGGGTTGGAATGAAATTTGTATAATTAATATTTAATATTAAAATATGAAATATCTTATTTTTGAAATGCTAAACTACTCATCTGATTTTTGAACCCTTGATTTTAACTCTAGGGATTTCTGTGGACCAAAACGCAAACAAAATAAAAAAAGAAATAAGCATATATATTATAACCAGAAATCCACAAATATGTTCCTATTGCTCGATTCTTAAAGAAGTTAAGATAATACTGCGTCTTTGGGTGATATATGGTGAATCTTCTTCTCAAAACCAAAAACTTGGGTTGCGAGAGTTTCTAGGTTGTTTTTTGGTGGAGAATGGAATACTATGTCTTTTCTGAGAGAATTCTCTATACATGAAGTTCCTCAATATCAATCAGCAGACATCATCTGACTAGGCCTTGCTAGTAATCCTAGCACACATTTCTAGTCCATTCAACACGTGAATTTGTATTTTATTGATATAATTTTATTTTATTTTATATTTCTGTCATTTTTTAAAAAAAAAATTGTCAATTTTTTGAGCATTTGTCACTTTTTTGAACTCTCATTTTTTTTATTTTTTTTTTCCCATATTTTTCTGTGACTTCCTTGAAATTTCTATCACTTTTTTAAGTGACAAACATTATTTTTGATAAAAGTGATATACATTTAATAAAAAATGTGACATTTAACTTTAAAGAGCGTCATCATGTCACCTTCTTATAACACAGTATTTTTTATTTTCAAATTATTTTTCATACGATTTTTCAAAAGATCCATAATTTTAGGCGTATTTTCGTGTTGCCCAATTTAATTTTCCGAAAGCCCAATAATGTAAAATCACAAAAGTAATATCAAATTTAATAATATAAAGCTTTAAACCTAATTTTGGCATGTGGGAACATGGGCGTTTTGTTTTTAATGAATGAGTCATGATTCTCTTAATGGATACGAATAATATATAGTTTATTACAATAGATATTCTTAGATGTAATAACAAATGACATGTAAATTTTCATATGAAATATAGATATTTCTAGCATGCATACAAACTTTCTAAATTTAGATGGGACTCTAAAAAATCTTCCATGTCACATTATCTTGATTCTTGAAGGAGTCATTATCAAGGCACTATACTACATATAATTTTTTTACAAACTTATTAACATAAAACATGATCGAATCAAACATTTTAAGTGAAAAAGGATAGGTTCTTTGTCCAACTACTCTATTAGCTTTGTCACAAGCTTTAATTTTCGTGTTCAATAAATCCAGTATAGAGGTTTTTTTGGAAACTAGTGAGGTATAGAAGTGGTGACTAATATTTATTATCCAAATTATCTTATATTTAAAAAATAAATAATTCAAAAGCAACAATAAATTAAAAGACATTATTGGTTGGGAGACAGTTTCTACTTTATTTGCACTACGATGAAATATCTAATGTAAGAAAATTTCATAAATAATAATTATTTTTTGGCTTCCAAAATTTTTTGAGGCCCCCTCATACCTTGAGGCCCGCCAGAACCGACCGTGATTATCAATGAGTGTCGAAGAGTTATTTCTTTAAAAAAACATGTTTTTTTTTGGGCTTAGCAAATGGTTTGATTCATTTAATTTCAACAATTAAAAAGTCAAGTCGGGTTGGATTGGTTACGGTTTAAGCAGCCAACCCATTAATTAACCGATCCAACTCGCAAATACTCTTCTTCTTTTCTTAATTTTAAAATTCATCTTTTTAAATATTAAAAAAAACAAAATAATAAAAGCACAAATATAATTTCACCTCAACTAATTTGTATATCGTCTATATTGTTCTACCAAAACTCTAAATGTCTAAAGAAAAGAAAACAAGCAAGCAAGATGTGTTTGATGTATACTTCAAATTTAGATTATGGCCTTACTTTCATTTCAAGGTAATTGTTTGTTGGTAAATATTGGATTTATATATATGACAATTTTGGAAAAATTGATTTTTTACCATTTACATTATATATATAAAATTATGTACTCACACAAATTTCAAACCGATTAACCGATTTCAACCACTGGATTGGGTCAATTTAGGTTGAAATTTATTCAAACCGATCAAGTCAGTATCGATTTCGGGTTGGACTCAAAATCAGCCCAACCCAACTCAACCCAAACCATGCCCCATGCTTAGTTGCTATTCATGTGTCTTTTATTTTCTTAAAATAATAATAAAATCTCATTTATATTTATGTATGAAATACATGCCGAGTTAACATGTAACTGGAGAAAAAATCACTTTTACTTTGCCACATTGGTTAGCTGAGTATCCGTATTGAACACGGTGTATCTTATATGACTGTTTTTAAACAATTTACAATTACATAGGAGATGCTTTCATGGTGGATTGATTAATAGGATGAGTTCACTTTTGTCTTTTACATATTTTATTTTATCATTTAACTAAATTTCTTTATATCAAAAGTTTGACTTTTACAGCCAGTCCTAAATGGCTAATGGAAACCATCAAAAGGATCAAATACACACATTGAGTGAATTATTCAAATGATTACTGTACTCTATAAAAGATTTTCACGGGGTCGCTGAACTTTAAAAATCATCAAATTCATCACTGATCTTTGCAAAATATTTCTATGGGATCACTGAATTTTTAAAATCACCCCCATTCATCACTGGACTTTGTAAAAGATTTCCACTGGATCACTAAATTTAGTGATCTCGTGCAAATCTTTTGCAAAGTTTAATGATGAATTAGGTGATTTTTTAAGTTTGGTGACCTCATAAAAACCATTTGCAAAATTCAGTAATGAATTGGATGATTTTTAAAGTTCATTGGCCCCGTGAAAACTTTTTGCAAAATTTAATGACCATTTGAGTAATTCGTCAAATGAAAAGTTAGAGGTATCTCTGCCAATACATCACTTTCCCAGTAAAAAATTTATCTTGCTTATTGATGCATTTTCTAATAGTAGATAGAACTTTTTATTACACTTTTTTGCGGCATTTTAATACACCAAATAAAATAAGGGGAACATCAAAGACTGGAGAGTTAATTGTTTCAATAATCACCCAACTTATACCATGGTCACGGTTTACTTACTAAACTTCAAAGTGCTTCACAATGCTCACTGAACTTTGTCCGTTTGTTCCCCATCCATTACCCTCAAAAATCCGTCATCTTATTTGTTGACGTGGCTAACGAAAATCTGATATGTCAAGTTACGGCAGTTAAAAAAATTACAAATCAGCCAAATGATTGTTTTATCACTCATCCAACTTACATTAGGTCACAGCTTACTCATCAAATTTCAAAATACTTCCCAATGGTCACTCATCTTTGAGATTTAGATTCCATCAATCATCCACATATTTCATTCCCTTCGATGCTAATGTTCACATAGGAATTCCACGTAGTTAGTTACAAATGTTAAAAAAAATACAACTCAACAAAACTATCAACTTATTAGAATCATCATATGTGAAACATGACTTCCATGCCCCCTATAAAAAAATTTTAAAACCCAATAAAGCTTCCCCAATGAGTCTTAGAAAATATCACTTTTCCAATTTGAACGTTTATTGTTTGAAAAAAAAAAAAAAAAGTTTTTTTTTTAAAAAAAAAAAAAAAAAAAAAGGTTTCAATCTAAAGCTAAAAATTCGAATCTTAACTTGTTTGATTGGAAATTCATTTCTGATTGCATCCAACTGGTCATATGTGCTCTTCAATCATAGTTTTGTATTTCGATTATACTTAATCTATATTTCCCATTTTCTCGTTTATTGTCTCCAATTTCATCGATTTTTATCTAACGAACACAATATATATAGAATTTAGCCATAATTCATTAAAATATTAAATAACTACTCTAATTTAAAGGACTAAATAAGTGTAACATAGTGCACTTATCACTAGGTTTTTTAGGGTTGAAATTGGGATGTTTTATTGAATTTTAAAGAAGTTTATTGTGACGTGTAAGTCATGCTTTACATATGGTAATTTTTGTGTGTTGGTGACTTGGTTGAGTTGTTATTATTATTATTATTTTTTAATGATTGTACTAACATGTGAAATTTCAGTACAATAAATTAGCAATGAAGTGAACAAACTATGGCGAATAATATATTTAGTGCAATATCTCAAAGATGAGAAACCATTGGGAAGCATTTTGAAATTTGATCAGTAAACTGCAACCTAGTTTAAGTTGGGTGAGAGATAAAACAATTATTGGCTAATTTGTAATTTTTTAATGGCTATAACTTGACACATCATATTTCCATTAGCCACGTTAGCAAATAAGATAACGAATTTTTGAGGGTGATCGATGGAGTGCAAATAGACAGTTCAGTGAGCAATGTGAAGCATTTTGAAGTTTAGTGAATAAATCGTGACTATGGTATAAGTTGGATGATTATTGAAACAATTAACTCAAGACTAGACCACACTAAATATGGCCAAACTAATTTATTAATGTAGTTTTTATTTACCTTTTATGGTGAAAACATAAATAAAGGGCATAAAAACATTAGCAAGAGAAATAAACAAATGTTACTATTTATCATTAGGGTAATGTTATGTGTCAAAGACTAATCTAGATAACAACTACTGATTCTATAAACATTGGAGTTAAATAACATTCTTATTATTATCACGCGCCTAATTGATAGTGACTTTGCTACCATACCCGTGACTATGTACAAGGATAAATAGCATCACTCGAAATAAATGGGCACTTCCTAGTTTCCCCATATATAGCAACCCAGATATCAGTAGGTGGAACTAAGTAATTTTAAATGAAAGTATAATAAAGAATAAAATTATTCAGCCTTACTAGTACTTAGCACCGATGTAAAAGGATTACATATTATCATTATTTCTAATTGGTGCCACCTAGATTGATATTGCAACCATTGTGGTGTTACAAGCTTATTGACCCTTGGAAAGCAAAACCCTAATGAGAAGAACATCTTAACTAGAAAAATCCTTGAATTTACTTAAAATATCAGGATTTAGCCATCAGCATTAATCAAGTACTTGATTACAAGCCAACCACAAAGTTCAAAAAAGAATACACCTACGGCTACTACTATGACGGAATGAAAGATCAAGACATTACAATGTTGCTTTGAATGTTACTATGTAGAAGGAAGTTCTACCTTTCTTCTTTTCCATTAATATCTAAGGAAGTTTGAACATGATAATCAATATAATTCCTCCAAAAATTGGAATTACTTTGTAGTGCAAACTTACATCAGGATTCGGATCACAGCTAGACCAACAGCAGATACAGAGGCAAGGGTACCTATGCAGTATTTTATCACGTCATATTTTGCAGCTTCCAACTGAGCCCGCAATGCATGAATTTCCTGAGAAAAAATAAATTTTGAAGTGATAAGGTCAAAAATACACCAAGTGGAACGAACTATTATTTTTCAGCAGCTAGATATACTCACTCGGTCGAGTTTGTTAGTCAGGTTAGTAGTTTCTTGATTTTGATTGGACAACTCGTCCCGAATTCTCCTGCATAGGCGAAAATACACATAAACAACCTAAAAGTATCCATACGGCAATAAAAGTGTACAAAATATATGATCTTCTCCATTATGTCTATAGTTCTGGTTATTGGGACAACTTACCCCCTTTCAAGATTAAGATCCAAACGCTGCCCAGCTGTGACTTTGTCCATTTCATATCTGTATGAAAATGATTATCGTTTGATGTTCAAAACAAACAAATACGATCAAAAAAATGGTATCATATGCAGTTCACACGGTATACATACAGACCTCAACTCACTGCGCATTTTTTCTATATCGCTCTTGAGTTTTTCAGTCTCGTGTTGTAACAGAGAAAAATGGTGATCCTGCATTAGGAACCATACATATAACAAATGAATCAATGACAAGTGTTCCTCTGGAGTTTGAGTGCTCAAAAGAAATAAACTGAGCATAAATTAGATGGTTTTCCATATAGAAATTATATGTTTCTTGAAAAGCGATGTCAACAAAATGAGCTACAAAATATGTTTATCCTCTCCATTCTTCTTACTACTATCAAATTTATTTCGTTAACCAATTAGAGCTCCTAACATGAGGAATTAAATGTTTCAATTACTGAATTTTTGCACAAGCTCACATGTTCATAAAATGTCGATCAAGGAAGCCATAAAGAATAATGGGCACATCCAATATTAGAGAGTACGCAGTAGAATAGTCAGGTATTAAAAAAAAAAAAGGAATCAATTGTGTTCAATGTCTGAAGGATAAGATAGATTTTCTAAACTTTTGCAAGGTCAAATCCTCGATTAGTATTAAGATAAAAAGAGCAAGTCCTTAATGTCATGCTTATTCCTAAAGTCGAAACCAATCTATTTGTTCCTAAATAGCTTCTTCCAGAAGGGCCTGTGCTTCATGGATAAGTGTCTTCCAGAAGTTAAGAATTCTCAAAAGTGAGGGTTATTATATTTAAGTTCCTAACTGAACAAAATATTCCACTATCACATAGAACAAAAACAAACAACAAACTTCCAATGAATGTCAGGACAACCACATATTATTAAGCCATTGTTAAACAATGTGATAGGTCTCCAATTCTAGAAGAGCAAGGAAGAATTGAGAAGAATGTGCATCAACAGAATTCTGTTACAAGGACCAGTGTAGGAGGGAATTAGTTAGGAAATAGCTATAAATAAAGGTAGGAGGCAGGCTTTTATGTAGAGAGAAGGGAGACCTTTAGGAAAGTTATAGCCCTCTCGAATGGCTATAGTTTCAGTTCCAGTATTGTAATTTTTCTTCAGTTTTCATCAATCAAACAGCACTATAATTTCTGGTTCTGATAGTTTTCTAAAAACTGCAGTTAGAATCTTAAAAACACAAAGTTTATTATTCTTCCTTGCCATCTTATTGAAAATACCATTGTCTCTTTCCAGACAAATATTACACGCTCTCCATCCCAAATAGAATAACTCCATTCCCTTTCAAAAAGATTCTTCTCTGTTGTTCTTTCCTAAAATGCCCTTAACTAATAATAAAGTCACAGATATATGTCCCATATATGAAGTTATGCCTCAATACAAATTCACGAGATGAAATTGGGAAACTATGCAAACCAAACAACTTTCCAATCATCTAAATAATTATGCGAAGTGAAAGAACCAAGAATAATTTTGGAAGGAAAGGACATTTTCTGAACTTATTTCAGAAATTCATTTTACCTAATGAGTTTATCAAAAATTGTTAAAAGCTTCATATAGCATTTTATCATCAAAGATTGATGTAGGTAAATTTGAAGAGAGAGGAAGAGAGAAAATTAATCATTTTTCCCTTATCTTGCTTTTTGTAGGTGGGAAGCTGGGGGAATACATTCCCACAGGAAATAATTCCTGCAAAAACAATGGAAAATTTCCAGGATATTGTAACCATCCATTTTATCAAATTACCACTTCCATCATTTGCAACAACAAACAGAGCCTCATTCCTCATAAATTTAAGATTAATTAAATGAATCCATTTGCACCATACTGCTATGTTCATTGCTGGATCTGGATAGATCTAAAGCAATTAGATCTTCAACAAGTACAACGACACGTTAATTTTGGTCTACCCCTCTCTATCTCTACCGAAATAGCATAACTCTTATGTAAGAGAAGCCTCTTTACGTCGATTCAAAACATAATCAACTGCCTAAATCGTCCTTCCCCTAATTTATTCTCAATTGGCGACATGTCCACTTGCTAGCATGTCTTTTCATTTTCTAGCTTATCCAGTTATCCATTATGGTATGACTGCCCATCCACCATACCATTCACATTTCTGATATATTTATCTTATGCACATCTTGCCGGTCCAATCACTATTTTGTAGAACTTGCCTTTTGACCCCCAATGAATCTTCCTATCACATAGAACTCCTGTAACACTTGTCAATTTCATTCAACCCACTAAGTACAAGTTTTCACTTCAACTCTTCATTCAACAAAATGTCAAAACATGCACTAATTATTTACTTCACTTTTTGGATATACACGTTCCACATAATCTACTGACAACCAACAAAAGTGGTTGTCAACAAGGTAACAAGCCCCAACAATAAATTAGAATTTTCACTGCATCATAACTATTGTAGAAAAATGTAGCAACCTCAAGTTCGAAGACATAATCACCCCACCTTTACAAAAAAACCTAAATAAAGTCTCTCTTCATCATACATGAATCAGACAGAAATCACTTCTCCAATAAGGTTTCGAAGGTTCCTCTATCACAACATATCACAACAATGACAGTCTTGTAGCAGGTTTTCCAACCGTATAAGATAACATAAAAGTTTCGTGATGCTGCTTCTTTATCAAACTTGAAGAATAAATGCTGAAGAATGACAGGATGAAGAGTTTGAAGTTTGTAGTGTGTTACCCATTAGAGTTACTTATCTAAGAGTTTGATTGTTTCATATGTACAAGTATATAACATGTTAAGCATGTTTATTAGATTTAATCCTGGTGAATTACGTTGTACTTCCTGGGCTATTATGCTCATCAAATCTTCAATCCACAAGTATCCAGAGATCACATATAACCTCCACATTGCCTATATTTTTTTTTTCTTTATATTTCTCTTGACAATAGGGGCCATGGAATAGATAATACAGGTAAACCATAGATAAAAGGTGTAAAAGTTTTGTCCTACAATTATTCCACATCAATCATTTTGAAATTGTAGAATTAAACAATTGAAGAGGACAAAGCTCCTCTCATATGTTTAGGAACAACTCATAGGATCCAAGTAATTTTCCAACACAAACAGATTACGTAAGCATTCCCTAGCCTGCAAAGATCACATAGAATTCCCAGTCCAAATAAACAGAGAACTGATCAGTGAAAGAATTGAATACACATGAAGATTTCTTTGAATCGATTTAACATGCATGATAATCTTGAGAAAAATATAGGTAAGGATTATGTGAATTGCAAGCCCACTAAAATGTTTTGAAGCTTCCCTTTTTTTAAATAGTCTAATATCTCATGGCTCCAAGATAACCCTAAACTACATGTACGGAACTCCCTCCTTGCTATGCTACAAACTAGGTTGCAAGTATAAGAGTCTATAAGGACCTTTTTAACCTCTGCATGAACCAACTTAAAATACAAAGATCGTCTAATCCCTCTGTTACTAAGGGACATCTCCAGATTAGCATGTCCTTTCAACGCATCCATATGTCACAGGAGGATAAAAAACCACAAATCACAACCAATGTAAAGTTGTTTTGGCACGAGACATCAGTTACAGTAGCCAGATTATCAATGGTTATAACAATCTTAAATCAGGTGAAAACTTTGGATCTTGACAAATGTCTAATATTGATCCAATAGATCAATTAGAAAGGAAAATCGATACTATATTTAGATTTTTTTTTATTATTATTATTATTATTTTTTTTGCCGGGGGGGGGGGGGGGGGGGGGTTTACATTTAATGACATGACAACATTAAAAGGCTTCCCACTTGCTTTAGATTCAAGTATGAAATAAATGGCAGGCCTCTGTTGTTCTTGTATTGGACTATTTTGGAGTCAGAATTCAAAGAGCGACAGACATGCAACACCTTGTATGCAGGCCATATAATTTAAGATTTTGAAGAAACCGCATTGTGGAATGACAAAACAAAAGCGGAATTTCATGAGATCAAGAATACCCTAGCATTTTAGTTTCATCTGAATGAAAATTATAATAAAATAGGATCTAATATTTGTTATCGTGCAGGTCAAATCTTGATCAAGTGCATTGTAGGTAAGGTTACCTCTAGAACAACTGTGATATTCCTAAACATTAAGAGACCTCATAATTCTCTTCAACTGGCTTTAATCAATTTGAATTGAAGGCCTTTAGTAAAACAATCCTCTTGCTTCAGTAATCTAAAGCATATTCATCAACACCTTTTCACGCATGCAAGCAAATAAGACTATGACAATGTTTAACAAAGAAAATTAGGCATGCAGGATATATTTTGTCATGAAATCAACTCCTTCAACCAATTGGAAAACAAATCCGAAAGTGCCGCTAGTAGAGGCACGATGGCTGAAATATTCCCTGAATAAAGCTTGAGAATTATGTGGGCTACCTGAGAGCTTTTAACTTCAGATTTGAATTTGGACAAATTGGCTTCCTGAGTCATCTCATTCTGAAAGAAAGAAAACAAAACACAAACAAGCCAATTAACAAAATATGCACATCCTATATTCAGTACTATACCCCTCTTTGATGGGGATTGATATAAGATTTTTAGTGGATTTTGATAAAAATTGATGAAATGTATGGAGGAATAGTTGTGAGTCCCAAGAAATATGTGCTTAAAATTAATTATTGACTTTAACTTGGATTAAAATCTTAATTGTAATCCCCACCAATCATGGGCTAAATATCAAAACATAGAACCAGGAAAATAATAATAATAATAACAAGCAAAAACAGGGAAACTAAGCCCTAGGTGGGGATTAAAATAAAATTTATTAAATTTTGATAAAAGTTGATGAAATGTGCGGTTGAATAAGTTGTGGTCCATGAAATATATTGTTAAATTCAATAGTTAACTTTGACTTAGATTAAAATTTCGGGAGGATGAGCTAAATAGGAAAGGAGTAACCGCAGGGATGAGGAACTTACCTTTTGCATCTCGCCTTTAGAAACAAAGGAATAAGACACGTTTTCTAAGCTATCATTGAGCACTTCAGTCATCGCGGACGTAATAGCCTCCGCTTGCTTTGATGGCACTCCTTGTGCCTCTAATCTCCTCACCTTTGGTAACAAGTATTCAAATATAATTTATATCAATCCAATGTAATTCAAATCCTGAACCAATCAAATCCCTATTTCACTGTTACAAGGTAAATGCAAGAAACTGCTTACAAGGGCTAATGTGTCGACCAGAAAGAGGCGTTTGCCATTAGATTTGGCTAGCTCCGAAATGGGTCTGGCTTCGAACCTGTTCGCACCAAACAAGTGGGTTCTGCAGGACCAAGTTCTTAATTGTGCCAAGCGCCAAGTTGCCGCATATGCGGCCATTCGAAAATTATGATCTTTCAAAGAACTCTTCGAATCGAATTGAGAAATTGAACCCAGAAACAAAAAATAACAGATTCTGGCAGAAAATATGTGCTTTGGAGGCTGTTGATTTGATTATGAAATGCGATTGCTCTAATCTTGCAATAATGATTAGATCGATTCTCTAGGATATTATTGTCAACAATTTGGTTATAGATAGACGGAGAAAAAGAGATATGGTAATTGCGTAATGGCAATTTTGCTGATTCCTAGGGGAACGTGAGGAATTTAAAGGCTGCTTGCTGGAATTGACGAATTGTGTTGTCAAAGAATCAAAAATTTCAACGGCATACGAGTCGCGGCGTTTATTCCCGTTTATTCCCGAAATAAGAAAATTGTTTATGCACCGTGTCCCATTATTTTACATTTATTTATTTTTTCTTATCCATTTTAGTCACATATTCACACAATAAAAATTTTCTATGCAAACTAAAAAAAAAAAAAATTCATACTTTTTAACTACACATTCTTCTAAAAATCACTATTCAAAACTCTATTTTTCCTAAATAATGATCATCAAACAAGGACTAAGTTGAGTGAAATACAGGCTAAAATAAATACAATTCAGTGACTAACATAAAACTTTAGTGCTTGTTGGACAAAACTTTGCGAAAATTCAGATGATTAAATTTCAATTTTATCGTTAGGGTTTATATTATCATGATCAATGGGAAAATATAGTTTTAACAAGTACACAAACTTGTCTTTGATGAGAAATCGATAATAAACAATTACGTTGTAATAATTATTTTGCTATAATTTATTTAATTCTAACAAAACATTATTGCATAGATTATTAAGATTTATACATTGTATAGACTGTAATGTTTGACGAAGACATGAGTCAAGACATTTTATACACAGCTAATAATCATCCCGAAGAAAGAAATTGACCTATATCTTCCTTCTAAAGCTTTCTCGGCTAATTAAATCAAGACGGTCTAATTTGCCCTCCAATTTTACAATTTCTTGAAATTTGGTTTTCTTGTACATGAAGATATTAAAAAAATGATAGGTAGATTTATTTTAGAGTAATGCTTTTTAGTCATACTTGATTATAACTTCAGTTTAGTATTAAATGATAAGTAGAATTAAGCCTATGTTTGTTTTCCATTTTTAGCACATATGACATAACAATGCAATTTTTGATTGTTGGAAGCCTCAAATTTGTAAACATTCTGATTGGCCAGTTAAAAAAAAAAGGTTTGGGGGAGCCCATTAATAGTCCAATTTCTTCTAAAATAGAGAGAGAGAAAAAAAAAAAAAAAAAAAAAAAAACAAAAGAGGCAAACAAACAAGGGCTAAATTCATTTAGTCTATCACTTAACACAATATAGACTGAGATTATAACTCTAGTGGAGCTAAATAGATCTATTTTATCGGTCTCTCTTAACCTCGATGGCTAGCTTCTTTTAACCCAAATGTTTAACCCTAAAAATACCTTCTAAATTCACACTAATCCCAAAACGGTGCTATGTTCAATTTAAAATTGCATTTTACTCATCAATTACGAGTCAAAAAACTAGCCCGTCCGGCTTGTGAGCCAATAAGTGTCTTGCACAAGATTTTTTCTGTTTGACGAGCCTCATTCGGCTCGCGACTTGCCCAACTTAATACTCCTATCGTAGAATTGGTTTGACTCCCTCCTTTTATGGAAATTAGAAGCAAATCTCTTTGTTCTATATGGATAGGAACTCCTACTTTATAGTATCTTAGAATGCTTAATGGCCTCTTAGCATGTATTTTGGAGATTGTAAGTCACCCTTTTTCTAGCGTGTGCTTCTTGACTCTATCCATGGACGTAAGCCAAGTTCTGAACTACGCAAACTCCTTGGGTTCGTTCTCTCTTTTATATTTTGCCTCAAACCAGGAGAAGGGAAAGGCCACACCAAACAAGTTGGCGAACACACCCTCGGGCTTCTTCAATGAAGAAACCCTCCTGCGGCCCTTCATATTATGGGCAACATGAAGTGGAGGATACTCTTTAACTTGTGCAATGAACTAATCTCCTAATTAATTGCACATATCGTTCTCATATCACTTGCTCTTCACAACCTCAAGAAGGCATGGCAGCTACTCAATACCAGCTTGGTGTTGAAGTGGGATGGAATACATACATACTCAGGAGTCAGGAGGGAGTCGTCAAAATTTTCCCCCGACGATACCATTGCCTTCATAAGTACGAAAGAGAGAATTTCCCAACAAGGCAAGTCGATTTACCCCACAACAATTATAACATGAAAAAGGAAAATAAGTAACATTTGGAAACGTCATGGTAGAAGTGGAAAGGAAAATCAAGTAGCGGAATAGGTCACCCCCAATGTCTTTGTTCTCCTTGATATCAGCATACTAGAAACGAGGGATTAGGAAAACTTAGCCCTCTAGGGGCGGATCTAGGGGTTGGCAACGTCCTAGCTGGATCCGCCAAGAACCATTTTTGTTGTCGTCAATAGATAAAATTTTTAACTTATATAACTGGTAATTCATTTCATTTCCATCCATCTATTGTTGCTCAATTGGCTGGAGGTTGCCAATTCACATTGAAAGTCCGGAGTTTGAATCTCTTCCCAACCAATTATTAATGCAATATTTTTATTTCTACCACATACTCAGGAGTCAGGAGGGAGTCGTCAAAATTTTCCCCCGACGATACCATTGCCTTCATAAGTACGAAAGAGAGAATTTCCCTACAAGGCAAGTCGATTTACCCAACAACAATTATAACATGAAAAAGGAAAATAAGTAACATTTGGAAACGTCATGGTAGAAGTGGAAAGGAAAATCAAGTAGCGGAATAGGTCACCCCCAATGTCTTTGTTCTCCTTGATATCAGCATACTAGAAACGAGGGATAAGGAAAACTTAGCCCTCTAGGGGCGGATCTAGGGGTTGGCGACGTCCTAGCTGGATCCGCCGAGAACTATTTTTGTTGTCGACAATAGATAAACTTTTTAATTTATATAACTAGTAATTCATTTCATTTCCATTCATCTATTGTTGCTCAATTGGCTGGAGGTTGCCAATTCACATTGAAAGTCCGAAGTTTGAATCTCTTCCCAACCAATTTTTAATGCAATATTTTTATTTCTACCCTTTTTACCATAATAAATGAAATATGGAGAGGATTCGAACCTACCATCTCTCTTTAAAATTATGGAGAGCTAAACCATTGTGGCACTTGCTGAATTTCAAAATTTAATTGAACGGAATAACATATGTTAAGTTTTAGCCAAATGAATATTTCCTCCTTCGTTATAGTGATTTTTTGGGCATGTAGATGAGAATGAAATTGCAAAAATCGGTATCTAAAAATATGACTTGAATTATTATGAATTATTTTTCAAATGATGTAAAGATTATTTTTCCTTTGAATTATGCACAACTCGGCCACAATATCATTTGGTAAATACTTTAATGTATAACAGAATTATATATGTTCATTTTGAACAAAATAATTGTTATATTTAAATTTTAGGTCATGTTTCATTTCCTTTTTTTTTTTTTCAAAATACATTTTTTTTTTCAATCACATTCTTCAATAAAATAATATTACACACAAATTCAAATTTATTCTTTATTTTTAATAACACTTTCTCCAGTCCTATCTAACACAATCTACCAAACATGCACTCAAGATACAGTTTATGTAGACAGCCTTCGCGTGGATGCTATCCCTTGGGACTGTGCATGTTAACTGTGTTACATTGAACTTCTACCTGAAACCAGGCACAGTGACAGCCACAAGTCAATGTTATCTGTGATCTTCTGCCTTACTTTACGAACCGCATCAGGGGAACTGCATTTTTTGGCATCACCTGGGATGTGGAAACAACAGAACCTCATTAAAGATCTCATTAGTGCTTGTGTGGTAGTGCTTTTTAAGCTATGAGCCCTACGGAATGTGTGGATAGTAAGTGAGTTTTAAGTTGTAAATTCTACAATTGTGTGGATAAAAATTATGTTTGACAAGCTTAAATTATGATCAGTACTTCCGGTCAAACGTGTTAGCGTCAAGAAGCTTTTAAAACAAGTCATGTGAAATATGAAGCAAACATAAAACGATCTTTGAGGAAGTATCACAGTAAGTACTGCAGAAAAATTATGTACTAAATATCAGTGATTTTCAGATTTAGTACTACCCACAACCTTAATACAAAGCATGGCACTTACAAATTGAAAATTGTGAACTGTGTAAAAACATGCAAAAAATTGCTAGAAGGTACTGAAATAAAAGAAAAAAAAAATTCAACTTTCCTAGAAGTTACTTTCTGTAAAAGTAAGTTTTGCCAGTTAGAAAAGCAACTTTCAAAATATGTTTGAGAAACTAGCCTAAAATGTAAGTTTAACTTATTTTTGAGCACTGCAAAACACAGGCCACCAAATATATTATTAAAGATCATGGCAGTCATATGGCCACTTCAATTATGTAGTTTGTAAGCGTTGCGACCTTGAGATATACGTACCTTCGGGGACTAAAGGAGATTGAGGGCAGCCTCGCATATCAGTTCCGTGGCCACAGTTATGACATGAGATGAGATATGAAGGCACTGAGACATTGAAAATGAAGTTTCGGTAAACAAGATATGCCTCCAAGAAGGCAATATTTCTACTGGAGTTGGATCAATTATTCTCTCAATATATTCTTTATAAAGTCGGTGTTAAATAGGTCAATGGTTTATCTTGTGCAGGAGTCTAGTGCCTGAAAGTAGACCTTTTAAGCAGAATGCTTATTTATTTCTTTTTTTCTGTGATAGTTTCAGCTTTGAACTTCAAGTTACAGATTTCTACGATGAAGAAAATTAATCATATTTATCACCTTTATTCACACATAAAAACAACAGAAGAGAAAATAGTCATTGAACATGACATCTACAGTCAAAACACAAGAAGAAAATTTCTAAATACAGTAAATATAGATGGTACACTTCAATTTTCATATAAACTTAGTATTGACCTTGACTTCTTTATATCACATAATACCTTTTAATATGAACGCGTAACGTTCCAATAAGATAATCAAATAGATGAAAAATTTGCGTTATAAAAATTAATTCCAGAAAGTGAATTTTTTTGTCACTAATTATCAGTAATGCAATTTTTTTATTTTTTTATTTATTTTTATTTTTTAGCTTACTGAATATTGATTATTAGAGGTCTGACTAGTCATGCAAAATTATTTCGTAATTGTTAGTCAAAGACTTACTGTCTGGCGACGACGTTTGTTTCGATGCATGGCGCCAAGGATCTTGTGACCCATTAGTGAAGATTATTTTTGAACCTGCCAATTCGTATTCAAAAGCAAGCACCATTTGTGAGTTCATGATAATTTCAGCAAAATCCAAACATACACGAAGCAATTAAGAGTCTTACAAATTGTATGATTGATCCACTACTACATGCAATAGACATAAAATTTGAGCTGCATTTTTTTTCTCAAATGCAGCATTCCAAGCCGAGAGGCATGTACAAGGGACACAGATAAAACTCTATTTTTAATCCTATTTGTATGCAGCATAAAAGCCTAAGCTCTAATGCACATAAAATTTGACTGCTAACCTGTATTGGGGCACAGATTTATGAGGGAGAAAAAAGAATAATAAAATGAGAAGTCATCAAACTAAGAACCTAGAAAGTCGAATATGTTGTGGGAAAATCTCAGCCAAACGAATGAATTGAACCAACTGCACCCAAGAAAATAAGCAATTTTCCTCTATCCTGTGAACTTTGAGTCAGCATATATTCAACTGCTTTTAGCAAATTGAGTCTGATTCTTGTAATTATCATAATGAGTAAAATACTAAACACAAATAACATGAACTTTTGTGAGATTTTTTTACCGTCTATCTTTTTGGAAAAGGTTAAAGCCTCAAGAAATTAATATAAAGATTTACAAATATACAAAGTACTAAAAAATCCTAAATTTTCAGGAAAGAAATGCTACAAAATATTTTTTTTGAAAGATAATCAAATATTTTATTAATCAATGGATAATGCATAGGAAGTTTATTGTCAATTTATTTAAAAAAGGAACAACATGAAATTGGGCAATCCATCTATATGCCTAGTAATGGCAGCATGAAACCAAGTATACAATATCAAAAAAAAATTCTCTAACATGCTCTGTTGTCCGTGTTTGATCATCAAAACAGCAGCGATTTCTTTCTCTCCACTCATACTACACGATGCAACCCACTATAAGGTCACATACAAGCTTGCTATCCTTATTGCAAAATTTTATCCTCCATACTTTCAACATATCTTCCATACTTCGTGACAATACCCAATCCATGTGTCGAGATACCAGAATATCATTTCACAACAAACGAGCAGCATCACAATGAAGGAATAAGTGATCAATCATCTCCCCATTCCTTCTACACATATACACCACTTTATAACATAGAAATCCCTTGTTCGAAGATTATCCATCGTTAATATCTATCATTTGACAACCGTCCATAGTAAAAAAGCCACCCTTGGACGCAATTAATATTTCTATACCATCTTCTAAAAGAATGAGCTCTCCACAAATTCCAATGAGGATCTAAAAAAAGTGCAGACTGAGAAGATACCATCCTGGGTCAACCTCCACCGGCTACAATTCCCCATCTCTTACCCTGATGTGCAATTCATATAAAACTTTTGATAGCAGCGCATAATCATCTATTTTCCCATCCTACAAACCGCGCCCAAAAAACAATGTTCCAACTAAGACTTCCGTTATATATATCTAAGACCCACTCACCGTAGTAGACGGCACCAAAGCAATACGATACAAGGGGGGAAACCCACCCTAAGTGGTTGCTCTCCACACCAAAAATTATCCCAAAAACTAATAGTATTACCTTCCCAACCACAAAAGTTCAATCTATCCTGAAATTGCTCCACCCTCGTCGAATATACCGCCACAAACTCACCAGTAAGAGCCACTGGCCTCGACTGAACACCATCCCCCTCAATAACACCATATTTTATACTGCTATAATTTCTCTCCAAACTCTCCATCTTCACAACGAATCGCTACAACCACTTACTCAATATTAAACAATACAAGGCTCCTCAATCTGAAATCCCCCTTTATGGGAGAGCAAACTGCACCCCAATTAACCAAATGTAATTTCCTTTCCTCCCCTACTCCTCTCGAGAGAAACTTCCGTTGAATCCTCTCTAATCTTTTTGCCACTGCTACAAGAATATAAAACAAAGACAAAAAATAAGTAGGAAAATTCGACAAAGTGGATTTATTGAGAGTTAGATAGCCTTCATTTGAGAGGTACATGCGCTTCCACCCCACTAGCCTTATCTCTACTATACTATTCCAAATATGAATACTTTTGAACCGTGCTCCTAAAGGAAACCCAGATATCACATAAGCAGCTGCGTGACCCAATATAGCAGCCAACTCCTCCACATTCTCGACCTTTCCCACTATGATAACCTCAGATTTTCCCAATTTTATCTTCAATCCGGATATAACCTCAAAGTACAAAAGCAAACAACGCAAGTTCTTGAATTGCCAACATTTGTATCATAGAAAATCAACGTATCATCATCAAACGGCAAATGAGATACCTGCGCCTGATCAATCATAAAGCCACTTAACAAACCCTCCGCCACAACCTTCTCAAGCATCCTACTGAAAGCCTCCATCACAATAACAAACAGCAATGGAAACAAAGGATCCCGTTGTCTCAATCCTCTGCTACTCCGAAATTAACACTCAAGAGTTCCGTTCACCATAACTGAGAAAGAAACTGTAGAGATACATTAGCACCACTTATCCCCGAAACCACATTACCTGAGCATGTACAAAAGAAAATCACAGCTTAAGTGATCATGAGCCTTCTGAATGTCAAGCTTACATAATATTTCAGGAACCCCTAGACGTAATCATGAGTCGATGCATCCATTTGTTATGAGTATGAAATCTAATATCTAGCACCCTTTGACAAAAGCATTCTGAAATTTAGACACCAGTTTTCCCGGCACTTCCTTTAATTTGTTGGCCAGTATCTTCACAATAATCTTGTACACCCCACTCACTAAACTGATGGGACGAAGTCCTTGATACCCGTCGTTCCCGATTTCTTAGAAATCCGCACAATAAATATAGCATTGGAGCTTCTCAAAAACCTACCACACTGGAAGAAATAAGTAAGGACATTCACAATTTCTGATCGCAGCACTTCCAAACAAACCTTATAGAATGAAAAAGATAAACCATCCGATCCTAGGGCCTTGTCGTCATTCATAATGAACACCACCTCCCTGATTTCATCATCCCCAAATGGTCTCTCTAACCAATCGGCTTTCTCATTAATTGCAGAAAAATCTAACCCCTCCAACTCTGGCCTCCATTCAAACTGCTCTCGATAAATAGTTTAATAGAAGCTCACCATTCGGGTCCCGTTATCTTGTGGACCTCATAAGTAACCCCATCTACCTCCAACATAGTGATAGAATTTTTTCGCCTGTTAGAATTAGCGACCCTGTGAAAAAAAGACTGCATTTGTCTTTCTTTCAACCACTTGACTTAAGATTTCAGACGTCAAGCAAACTCCTCCATGTCCACCAACTCTCCCCTTAACTCTCCACATCTCTCCCTCTCATCCCCTACAAATCCTCCACTCTCCTCCAATCTGTCTAGCCCTTTCACATGTGACAGGCATTGATTTTTACGATAATTAACATCTCCCACCTCCTCTTCATTCCACCTTTTTAGATCCCTTTTCAAGACCTTCAATTTTCGATACAGCACGTAACTGGAAGACCCGCTGAAGTCATACGATGCCCACCACATCCGTACATGCTCTACAAAACCTTCTATTTTAGTCACATCTTCTCGGACCTAAAAGTCCTCCTTCCAGTGCATCTCACAATCCCAGATAACGAAATTGGAAAATGATTTAAATACACCCCAGTCTCCTATGAGTTACCTTTAAGTACTTAGCCTCCCACTCCCCACATACCAAAAAACGATCTATTCGGAACAAGATAGGTTGATCCCAATTAGATGACCTATTAAAATTTTATCCAGGTCCACCAACATGTTCTCTATAATAAAATCTGAGAAGTCTTCCATAACCCTTGTTACTCTCCCACCATTAGACCTCTCGGTAGAAAACCAAATCACATTAAAATCTCCTCCAATACACGTTGGGAGGTTCCACCAAGCCATCATATCAGCCAGCTCATCCCACAATCCACCTCTACTCTCATCAACATTAGGCCCACAAACTCCTATAAGAGTCCATCGAAATCCATTCCAATACTTCTAAACGAAAGCGAAAGAGAAGATTGCCCTTCATTAACCTCCTCCATGTCAAAAACTCTAGTGTCCCACAAGGTCGGCCCTCCATCCCCTTATCAAATTTCAAATACCCAGCCTTTTCCCCACTTCATTAAGCCTTCCTCATATTCCAACTAATCATTTTTGGGATCATCTTAACACTCCATCATCCCTCCCCATCAATCCTATCCTTGACTCGCCTCTTTTGACGTCATAATTCACCAAGCATTTGAGTCGCTTAAGCTCACGATCACCCTTTCTTCTTGTCTTAGCTCCTGGTGTACCCATCCCCAATCCCCTACTAGCCTCCAGTTCCTCGAATAATTGCAAGAGCCTGTTTTCATACAAATCGCTACACACACCTACCATCTTCCTGAAGTCCAAAATTTTTTTAAGAACCCAATTCAACGGTGGGATCTAATGTCAAGCGCATTACCCTTTGCTCTCTCCTCATTGTAAGGAGGATCACAGTAGTGTCCCTCATTTTCCCCTACCTGTACTGCATTACTGTATATATACCCCTTATCGGTGCCATCAACTCACACCAAAGACCCCCTCATTTGTAGGCTTCGAATATCTCATTGTGTGTGTTTACTACCATTGTTGCATAGCCTGTCGTCCCTTGCTGTTTTTCAATTATCAAAGCTAGACTATCTGCAACTACTATTCTGGTCTCCATTGCCAACACTAACCCCTCAACTAGATTTGTGTCCATCACAGCCTAGGAATGTCAATTGGGCTCGTCGGCTAGAGCCGAAAAAAGGCCGAGCCCCATTTTGAGGTTCCGGGCTTAGCTCGAGTCGCCTCATGTGGCTCGCCAGCTCAGGCCTTATTAAAGAGAAGGAAAAAAAAGAGGCAGCTAGCAGTTGCCTTATTTTAAGGCAGCGGCAGAAGTGCTAATATATATATATATATATATAAAAGAAAAGAATCGAGCCAACTTGGCTTGGGCTCGGCTCGCTAAGGCCCGAGTCGAAAGCTAGGGTTGAGCCTTTTTTTTGGCCGAGCAAAAGCCTGGCTCGACTTGGGCTAAAAAAAGCCTATTTTATTTTACTCGAGCCGAGATCGAGCCTTAAGTTTCTGCTCGCAAGCCAGCTCGGCTCGTTGACATCCCTGCCACACCCTCAAACGTGGAGCAATTGTCATTGGTCGCATCAAGAATCTTCGACTCCAAATTCAACATACTCGACCCACTACCTTAGCCCAAGGTTCCACCCTTCTGCTTTAGTCAACATCTGGGGCTTCCTACTTGGCTTAGCTAGCACCTCTTTACTATGAGACCAGTTCGATGTCATCTCCTTATCCAAGATTGCTAAATTTATTCCACTAACTAGACACTCATCAAAGTCCACCCGACACTTATGACAATAAGTCTTCCTAGTGCCCATTACAATCCCAATATCCATGAACCTGCTTAATTCATCCAATTCCCCTTCCAAAGCCTTGATACTTGGGTATATAGGCACAATAACGAGTGTGCAAGTGGACCAGAATTCAGCTGGGGTTCTAAATTCAATAGCAAATTTAATATCTGAGAAAGGTCAGATGAGATCATATAATTTGTCCATAGCATACATCATTAAAAGAGAGAGATTTCTAGCCTCGCATACCATCCTGTCTCCATAGCCCACTCCATTAGGAGCTGGCTGGGGTGGTTCTAGACAATCCATGCCCATTGCATTCCTCTTCATTATATTAATGAAAGCAACTCAAAAACTGATAGCACTGCCCTCATATAAAAATGGGAGAGGGGGGGATAACCTAATCCTGTGCCCTACCCAGAGTTTCGGTGCCTTGCGCCACACTGGTTCCCATCTCTTTGCCCACCTGCCAAATTAGAGGGCTAGTCAGGGTGCGGTCCATGGAATAACCTGTCCCCACAACATCACTCTCCACTATAAAGCAACTCAACCTAGTGATATCATTTTCCTCTTAGAAACATAGACATTGAATGCATGTGACGAAGTTCACTATTTTTTCTAACCTACTAAGTAACAACTAAATCATGCCTGAATTTCTCACCAGTATTTTATTCAATCAGCACTTATTTTATATTTTTTTTACTCATATTTTTAATCAAGAAATTTCTCTAAGTTTCTTGTTCATGGTGTTCCAGGCATCAGATTCATTCACTATCACCTCTAGATTCATAAATGGTATAAACGGTGAGAATAAAATGAGAGATTGGTCCATAGAGAAAGCCTGCTAGCCTTAGAAATTAAAAAATCCATTCTTACCATGTAAATTTTCCACCTCTTAATTCTCGGCAATCTTACCTTAAACTCTTTGTTAGGTTTCATAATGAATCTTAATCTTCTCTTCCTAGAACACTTCGTCTTTTATTCTAAATCAAGTAATGTTAATATCCTTTCCTCCTTCACATCCCATCCATTTGTTCCTAACTTTGTCAAAAATGTCATCCTAGAGGGCACAGATTACAAATTCCATGTCGTTGTTTTGCCCTAGAACGTGCTTATGAGTTTTGACACCCTCAACCTAGGAAGATGGTGATCACTTTACCCTTAAGCCTATAGAAAGTGTTGAACATGAGGAAGAGAAATCTGGGCTTTACAAGGATGAGGAAGAAGTTGTCTGTCAGTCTCACAGATTTAAGCTACTGGCCTAAGAAAAAATCAATGTATTTTGAAACGCAGCTGAAAATCAAAGAAAACTAACAAAGAAAAATGGCAGAACACCAGAAATACTTAGGAATTTGTACCAGCAATTTTCGTGCCCCCATAGTATACATTTGTTGCATCAACATCAGGATAAATACCCTCTCCGAAGACATTTTTGCACAGATCTAAATGGTATCTGCCAATCATAAGTAGTGAACTTTTAATTCAAGGTTCTTTTTGAACTACAAAAAGAACACTAACTAGTAAAGAAATGCTACATGAAACCAAGGAAACAATTAAAACAGAATGAAAACATTAGCATATTGTACCTTGTATCGACCCTTGGAGAGCGAATACTATCATTTGAAGGTGCAACCTGAAAATATGCAACTTCAGTGCAGACTTGGAACCACCATAAGCGATCACCACTGTTAACATTTAAAGCAGTTTTCTTCAGATTTTGTTGGTTATATGTTGCCACATCATCACCATAATTCTCCCTCACATATGTGGCATATGCTTTCTGCAGATAAGATTTTTCCTAAGCATTAGAAACACAGATAATAATGAAATTCTTGACTTTGAGAAATTGAACTTGCATTCTTCAACAAGATTATTCAAGACGGACCTTTTATTCACCTCGTGGCCCAAAAAAAAAATGGAGACGGTCACCATTTGTTTCCTTTATTTAGGAGATTTAATCAGGTTTCCTTTTCTTTATATAGGATAGGTGTAGAAAACCAAATATGGAAAGACACTGAATATTATGATTGATAGGATTGTTATAGGATTATTAGTTAGGTGATTTATTTCCTTATTTAACAAATTGGAGTCTTCCTTTTTTATTCCATACTTTGTAATATAAATCGGTCGTATTGGTTTTTGTAATATTCATTGAGAATAAAAAGAAGCTTTATTCTTCATGGTATCAGAGCCTAGGTCGTCCTAACCTAGCACACCAATGGCTGAATTTCCGTCGACAGCCAAGAATTAATGACCTCTGAAACTTCTCGTCCTGAAGCAGAGGCCAACCCCTCCATTGGATCCAATAATCTCGAAAATTCCTCATTCCAACTCACAGTAGAAAAACTGAACGGGAGAAATTTTCGAGAATGGGCCCAATCTA